ACCTCTTGAAACTGAGAAGCTTCTGTAAGGCAAAGGACACAGTCAACAAGACAAAATGGCAGCCCCCAGAATGGGAAAAGATTTTCACATCAGACTGAGGACTGATCTCAATAATTTACAAAGAACTCAAGGAGTTAGTCTCCAAAACACCAAAAAATCCAATTAAAATGTAGGTACAAAACTGAATAGAGAATTCTCACTAGGGGCATCTAAAATGGCTGAAAGACATTTAAGAAAACGCTCAACATACTTAGCCATCAAGGAATTGCAAATCAAAACAACTTTACTCCTGTCAGAATGGCTAAAATAAAAAACACTAATGACAGTTTATGCTGGAGAGAATGTGGAGAAAGGGGAATACCCCTCCACCACTGGTGGGAGTGCAACTCTCATAGCCACTTTGGAATCAGTATAGTGGTTCCTCAAGAAAATGGGAATCAGTCTACCATAAGATCCAGCGAATCCACTTTTAGGCATATACCCCTAAAATGCACATTCATACAAAAAATGTCTGTTCCACTATGTTCATAGCAGCATTATTTGTAATAACCTGAACTTGAAAGCAACCGGGATGCGCCCCAACCTAAGAATGGATAGAGAAAATATGGTACATTTGTGCAATGGAGTACTACTCAGCAGAAAAAAACAATGGAATTTTGAAATTCACAGAAAAATAGATGGAACAAGAAGAAACCATCCAGAGTGAAGTATCCCAGTCTCAAAAAGACAAACATAGTATGTACTCACTCATATATGTATTTTAGACATAGAGCAAAGGATTACCAGCCTACAATCCACACTGCCAGGGAAGCTAGAAAACAAGGAGGTCCCTAAGAGAGACATACATGGTTCCCTGGAGAAGAGTAAAGTGCAAGATCTCCTTAGCTAATAGGGAGCATGGTAGAGGAGAGAGGGAGTTAGAAGAAAGAGAAGGGGGAGAAGGTCAGAGGAGAGGAGGACAGGAGGAAGCAGGAAGATGAGGTCAGGTGAAGAATAGAGGAGAACAAGAAAGAAATACCATAATAGTGGGATCCATTATAGGTTTAAGGAGAAATCTGGCACTAAGGCAATGTCCAGAGATCTACAAGGATGACCTATTGGCCAGCAGTCCTTTATTGACAAATGCACAGGGCTTCCCCCCGACATCCTTTACTCCAGAGGCAGAGGCAGGTGGATTTCCAAAGAGAAACCCTGTCTCAGAGAAAAAAAATAAATCAAAGTAAAAGAAATAGAGTAATAATAATAGATAAATAAATAAGCCACGTAAAGATGGAAAATACACAGAGAGTCTGGATTCTGTATGCTATTGTGTTTTTCAGTTTTTTGATTGTTCAGGAAGGAACAACTGCTAAAGTACACTTGATTATAAATGCTGCTGAAATAATTCAACTTCTATCTTTTGAAAATGCCTTGACTTCAAAATTTAAGTATACGGATATATTACTTGGGAAAGGAGATTTTATTTATATTTCTACAGAAAATGAAAAGCTGAGGATTCCTTCCAGGCTTCTGTGGTTTGATGAACCAAGATCCCCGGAATCAGTGGACCAGGTGTTCCAACAATTGAAACAGCTAAGATGATGCAGCTTTACAGACCCTGAAAATAAGGACTTATACAGGTTTCTGAGTTTTGTCATGATCCCCATGGTATGAACAGCGCCCCCTTCCAGCACAAAGCAGTTTGGAATGAGCGATGTCCTAATTCCCATCTTGTTTATAAATCTTGGTTTTCATTTGAATGGGGTTGTTTATAATTGGTTAACTATCACAACCAATCTCTTCTTAAAGGAAAAAGGGGATTATGGTATGGAAATGAGTACTTTGTATTGGTATGGTTTTTCATTTATTGATACAAATTCAAGGTCAGTTTTGAGATGCGTATATTTCTCCTCTTGATTAAGTATTGTGCTTATACTGTTCTTTTAAAACATAATGCATAATTGAATACAGACTATAGATAGTTACTTATAATAGAATTTATAGTTAGGTAAGTTAGGTTTTCTAGATATACAGAAATATACTTGAGACAGATAGATAGTCTTCAAACCTTTCAAAGACCTTCAGAAAAATGGTTTACGGTTTTTCTTGACAATGAGAAATGTCTGCTCCTGGCAGCACCAATTACGTCTGAGAGGAAGATGGCCATCGAAGAAACTTGTTATGGAGTTGGCTTTCAACATGGCAAGATTAGCCATTTGGGCAAGAAACTGCTCTTGCCTGTACTGCTTGACTGATGTTGTATAATCTGGACATGCAGGACCCACAGGAAAGTGACTGCTGAACTCAGTCTTACAGGGTTCCTGCTTCATGGAAGAGTCTACGAGACTTTCTGCAGGACACAGAGAAATGACTGACAGACTGCCAAAGCAGATGGACAGTTTTGAAATTTCCTGCTTTGCTGAGAAATCTTCTGGATACATTGTGGCCTATGGGCTGAAGATGGATGCCCTGCCAATACAGAAGAATTTCGGGTGACTGTCCAGGCAGTAAGATGTCTCTGTCAATCCTGGTGCTTATATATTTTCCTTCTGTGGTCTTTGATGGAGTTGAAGAAAGATAGTTATAATTATAGTTTTCCTTAGTTATGATAAAAGATAAGCTACATATAGGACTTTGAAATCACAAGAATGAGATAGATAATTTCTTTAAATCTTGCTAAATGTCAATAGACAAAATATTGTAACTATGTTCTTGATAACTGTTCTTTTATATATAAATTGACTATGTTAAAGTTAAGACTTTTCTTTTTGTTTAAACAGAAAAGAGCAGATGTTGGGGGGAAGTACTGTGCATTTGTCAATAAAAGACTGCTGGCCAATAGGAATCTAGATAGGTGGGACTAAGAGACCTGGATAACTCTGGGAAGGAGAAACACAGAGAGTCGAGATGTAATGCCATGGGGTAGGAGGCCTGGAAACTTCTCCGGTAAGAGACATACTTAGATTAACAATTATGAGGTAATTACTTAAGGCAGAGCTAGCCAGTAAGAAACAAGCAAGGCCAACAGCTTCATAATTAATATAGCCTCCTGTGTGTTTATTTGGGACTGATGCGGCTCTATAACCAGGCTGGCAGGAAGGCTTCTCTCAAGGAAAAAGCTTCCCTTTACAATGACCCCTACTGGCAATCCAAGAAATAGTGCAGAGGCTAACTCAAATGCCCTTCTCTGACAATGAGATTGATGACTACTTTATTTGCCATCATAGAGCCTTCATTCAGTAGCTGATGAAGCAGAAGCAGACACCCACATCTAAACACTGAACCGAACTCCTGAATCCAGTTGCATACAGGGAGGAGTGATGAGCAAAGGGGTCAAGACCAGGCTGGAGATACTCACAGAAACAGTTGACCTGAACAAAAGGTTGCTCATGGAATCCTGACTGATTTCTAAAAAAAGCATCATAGGACTGACCCAGAACCCCTGAAAGTGGTTGTCATTTAGGAAGCCTGCAGTATTATCAGTATTTATCTCTAGTTTATGAATGGACTTTGGGAACCCACTGCACATAGAGGGTTACTGTCTCAACCTGAACACAAGGGGAAGGTCCTAGGCCCTGTTCAAGTGATATGACAGACTTTGAAGATCCTCCATAGAAGGCCTCACTCTCCCTGGGGTGCAGAAAGGAGATGGGGTAGGGAGGTTGCTAGGGGTAGCGGAGGAGGGAAGGGAGACGAAACTTGGATTGACATATAAATCAGGCTTTTATAAAATTTTAAATTAAAAAAGGAAAAATCCAGAGTTTAAAAAATTCATTGTTGATTTTCCTTCATTTGTATCACCTTGTTATGGAATCATCCCATGGTGACTGGCTTCTCCTGGGATTTATTTTCCTCCTAAACTTATATATGCATTTAAACATTTTATCTTCCTAGGTTGTTTCTAGAATTTGCATTAACTAGTCAGTTGTGGCTCTTGTACTATGTAAAAATAGGAACCCTCACACATGCAAGTTGCAGAATTAGACTGTTTCTGAAAACTGTCAAGCTCACAGGTAAAAGGCACTTTCCTATTTCTTTCATGTGTTAGTTGATACAGTTTTTCTTGTCTACATTTTGCATACCCAGTGTTCATCAGAGTTACTAGGCTTTAAGATCCATTCTAATTCCTCACCTTTCATGGTAATTAATCTTATGTTCTGTCCCATATTCTAACAAGCTCCAGAACTCAGCTTCACATGACCTCTTCCCAGTTAAAGCACTGATCATTTTGGCCTCAGCAGTGATTCACTGGTTTAAACATCCTGTTTCTTTTGGGATTACTATGTTAAGCTCAAATATGTATTTCATCAAAAAGGAAAAGAATCTTTCTCTGTATTTTGCATACAATAGTGACTATGCCTACCAAATAGTATCTTGAATGGCCACATTGATTTAATGATTTAAGGAAGTCCAGTTCCTCATGTAAATATGCTACTTTTCCTTCATAATCTCTATAGTTTTTCCTAGGAAAGCATAAAATAGATACTCCATGTGACTACGAATTGTTTCTTTTTACCATGGTGATCTATATACATTCTACTGTTAAATTCTCTGTTTAATATTTATCTGTCATATATTAAATTAGGTAACCCAAAATGAATATACATATATGAATGACTTATCCATGACATAACACTGTATTCATTCATCCCTATAAATGTACATGGCTGTTATTAAAGGAGCTGTATATTTAGTGTTTGCACCCTTCTTTCATCAAATAATTAATTGTGATTATATGCCAAATACTTTCCTGGTTTAAAAGGCATGAGTGAATAAGCAATCTTATGCTATTTTCTTGATTTTGCCAAAGAATAGAAAATGTGTTGGGAATAAGGCATGTTTGGAGATGCATGAACCACCCCTGAAAAGGTGAGAGAACCCTTCTTCCATAGCACTAGAAATACTAATGCAGCCTTTTTTCAGGCTCACCTAGATGGTTCATACAATTCTCACTGCTGTCTATGTGAGCTGGTGTCAATGAACACTGCTGAACTCTGCCTGTGTCTTGATATTTTCCACAGCTGAAAAAGTGGAGTACCTTTGGCTCGCTGGAAGATGCCTCTCAGACTAAAGCAGATAAAACTCAATGTTCAGTTGTGACTGAAGATGACTGTGAAATCCTTAAAATTCCTGCAAAGGAGTATGAGAAGTTAAAATTGGTATGGTGTGCATATCTATTTTACTTTTGAAACTTGACTTGATTATACAGACCATAAATTAAGGTTTATCTGATGAACAGCACTTCAGCAGCTTCTTTTGGTACCTAGCATGAAAGCCAGGGTCTCTGTGGGTGTACATTATGAGAACTCTTCTGTTTTTTATGAATTTCAAATTCATTCATTCACTCACTCAGCAAATAGGTAGTTTGTGCATCAACATCATGCTATTTGCTGGGAACACAAAATTATTGGATGGGTCACATTACTACTGCTTTCAAGATCCCACCAATTTGTACTAATTTTCCCTCAGAAACTGTGTGAGTCACTTTCTGCTATCTTGACACAGACCTAGACATACCTTGGAAACGGAGATTTTAGTTGGGGAACTACCTTCATCAGGTAGAACCATGGTCGTATCTGGGGGGCATTTTCTTAGTTGGTAGTTGATGTGGATGGCCCACCTCACTGGTGGTCCCATTCCTGGACAGTTGGCCCTGTGCAATATAAGAAAGGTAGCTGAGTAAGCTGGGAGAGCAAGCCAGCAGGCAGCATTTTCCCATGGTCTTTGCTTCTGTTCCTGCTTCCAGGTTCCTCCCTTAAGCTTCTATACTGGCTTCCCTAGATGATGGGCTAGAACTTGTAAGCTGAAATAAATGTTCTCTTCAGAAGCAAACTAGAACAGAATGTTTAACATACTATTTCAGTCACTCAAACTTGTAAAATTAGGACTGGATGAAAAGGCATTTAAAATTATTTCTGAGCATTTAGTTCTGATGTTTAAGAGAATTTGTTTATGCAAATTTATTTATTTTTCTAGTCTAAACCCCAAATGACCCCTCCCTCTTTTAGATGGCAGAGGAAGCTTATTTAAATACTGGGATTGGGAAGTCCCCATAGACTTTCTGACATGTTCTAATGCAGGTCCAGATCATGCCCAGAACGTGCAAGTCCAGTACTCAAGCTAGGAGGAGATGAAGATAACTCCTTCTTCTTGCTTAGGATGTGAAAGAATAAGATATTTCTTTTGATGTGGTGATCTCGTAAACAAACAACTTTCTCAGAATTCACAATTTCCTCAGTTACTGTGAATTTCAGAGGGTTTTGCCTAAAGAAACTCAACAGAGTCAATTACACACACACACACACACACACACACACACACTCCTTTTGAGTAATTTTTAACAGCTTTAAGATAGACTAACATTATGGAACAAAGTGATTATGTTGGAAAAACCTCTGAAAATGAAAGTTTCAGTATAACTATTGGCCATAGTGATAGTCAAATACTATTAAAATTTATCTTATACTGAATAATACTCACATAGCTGTTGCTTTTATTTTTCTGCCATTTTTATTTGTTAGTTTTGTTGATTTTAAAATTATCTCATTTTGAAATCTGATAATGCAATTATTTTTCAGGAAAAAGTAAAACGTGAAAATATGCAAAAGTTGAAATTAATCCGCAAGTGTCCTTTTTATGAAAACTGGCCTACTTTGTCCATATGTGATCTAGTTTCAGTTAGTAAATGGAAAATTTTTCCTCCAGGTCATGGTAAGTTTAGTTTAGTTTTAAGCTAGTTTTTTTTCCACGTAAAACTATATTATTGGGACTTTTAATTCTTCGTAGTTTCCATATTTTAAATATTTCTTCATATAGGCATTCTATTTTTAACAAATTACTGTCTATGAGTTGGATACTTAAATTAATTCCTTTCTTAGTAAAAAAGTGAGCATACTTTACTTCAGGAGTAGCTTCAGTGTAACCCAGCATTCCACATCTCTCCATATCTCCAACTCTCCATACACCTATTGCTGCACACTGACAGTCACAGTAAGGGCCAAAATGTAAAAGATGAAGGCAGGAAGTTGCTATATTCAGTGTTTCCTCATTATTTTGGTTGAGTAAATTCTTAATCAGACAGTTTTCAATCAATATCTGTGTTATACGTCATCAATGAAAAAGTAACAGTTATAAATCATCTATTGTTTATCAAAGTCTTGGAAAAGAAAGCATTTCTTGTTAAATTTTTGCAACTTTTGGAATGTTTTATATAAATATAGAGGTATCTTTGGGCTGGATAGGGACTCTAGATGTGAAATCCACTCACACTCCACCTTTCTCTCCTGCACATTGGTAGTCATTTGGACAGTATATTTTGTGTATCTCTGTTCTAACCGTGATCTGCCACAGGAGGTCAGATGTGTATGTGTCATTAAGGTACATTGAACAAGTTTATAAATTTAAAGATTTTCCATTTGCATTTTGTAAAGTAGGTGAAGTCTCAATAAGGGAAACAGCAAGGGAGACTTTGTGTTTTGAATAGCCAGTGTGGAGTGCATGCATGGACCTTGTAGTGTATGTTCACGTGAAAGCATAGACAGCACTGAGTCCTCTTATATCCTGTTTGAGCCAAGTAACCAAGGGAGGACAATGGAGGAATACATATGGAAGTATGGGTGAGATTTTTCTCTTTATAGTAAGGAACACTTTTGTCCTACCAGAGACACACTCAAGCATCAGAATGAGGAGTGAGACCTCATATTACTCTTTTCTCAAACCATGGTGGAGTAAACACCCAGCCCATTATATTAGGAAAAGCTTTTCAAGAAATACCACTACCCCAAAGCCCCCAGGGCTGCAATGGTCCTGAGGTTAATTTCAAATTAGGCTTATAGAAAGCTCCCACAAGTTTTATTATGTTATAAATCTTAGAAAATGGCTAACATACCCGTGGGAGGAGTCACTAGTTAACAGGAAAGTGAATTTCAGCATAGCATGGCACAGAATGCTCTTGATGCTGTACTATAAGGAAAAAGTATTATGAGAGAAATGCTGAGGTTTCAAAGCATAGAAATACTATAATAAACCACCTGAATTTGATAAATTTACTTTCAGAGTCCATATTTACAAAATAATTTCTTAAAACAGTATTTAAACTGTGCTGCATGCATATTAAAAATGTCTTACTTTTGACAATTATTATTAACAATATAAATATTATAAACAATAATATTAGTAATAAAACATCAAATAATGCATTAATATTGATAATATCAATGTTATTATCATTATCAAAATTATTAATATTAATATTGAAAGACTACACACTACTAAACACCAGACCACCAGTCAGAGAAGAGATTAATAATAATGTTGAATTGTTGTGTATGCAGCATTTTACTAACATGTATGGAAACAAAGTTTTTATTTAAATGTATCTGTGGAAAACAGGTAGTACAGTAACCTGTAAGAGTGTGAGTTTAACTTTTCTAAATTCAGTATATTTATTGTAGAGAAATACTTGATAAATGTGAATATTTTGAGTTTATCATAGTAGATTTCCTTTTTTATGTCTTGTGCATCAAATATTTGTCATAAGCTTACTCTCAATGGCTAGTATATAGCAAAGTAATTATTATCAGTCTATTATTCTAGTAGCAACTTATATGAAAAAGAAGATGAAAAGAAACCACACTTAAGCTGTTTGAAATACTGTAAACAAAATATTCTGGAATCTAGAGGGGACTATGATTCTATGACTTTAATACATTTAGTTACTATTAATGGTTCTCAAAATAAAACATGAATCTAAAATACTTTAATTTCATATTAAAGAAAAAATATACTGGACAAAACACTTTTCAAAGACTTGGGTGTCTTTAAAAAGTAATAACATTTGTTAAACTATCTACTGTATTAGACAATTTGTTATTAAAAAAGTAAAAATAACATTCCCATCCATTACTAAGTGTATATAAGTTAGGACATGAATTTACATGGGTTTAGAGGAAATTTATCTCCCTTAGATAAGAATGACAAATCTTCCTTAAATACCCTTTCATCACAAACATACTGTGGTTCTTATAAATAAACTGATCTAGGTTAGGAATATATTCCATCAAAGTAATGCCGTCTTTTTATAGTAATAAACAATATATCAAATAAAAGCATCACATACATTACTTCTTGACTTACAACTTATACTGGATTACTATCAGAAAACAAAGTTATAGCTGAAATTAAACTTCCTTTTCCTGAGTTTAAAATTGGAAGTGAATGATTTCCAAAGCATACAAAGTGTGTATTTATCTTGCTTAAAGATATTTATTATATTAAGTTTCAGAGAGATTTAATTTTTCCTAAGTTAAATCAATTTAGGACTTATTTTTAACAGTTTCTTTTCAACTCCTCATAGCTTCCTACATTGCTGGCTTCATACATGAAGTAACCCGATGACTATGATCTCTAGGATTGCTTGTAATTTTGTTCTGTGTTATTCTTTTTCAAAATGTGACTCATAACTAGCTTATCTTGCTATCCAAGCTGTTTCAACACATATCATATACATATATAAGGATAATAAATTAACGTGACAAACAATGGTTACTATCTTGCTTATATTGGTAGGTAATCTTCATTTCTTTTCTCCAGTAGAACTTGACATAAACATAACTTGAGAAATTGAAAAAAAAACTGTACCTATGAATTTACTTCTAAAAGACAAAATATATGAAATATCTGTCACCAAGGCCACAAGTGTTTCAAGCATCAGATACATGTTTTGAGGGTCTGCCTCAAGAATGGCTGCAGCTCTAGTCTCTGAAATACTTGCAAGTTCTGACATTGGTGTTTTACATATCAGTCTTGGTCCCAAGGATCCATACTCATGCCACAAAAACCTTCAGTCTGGAACCTCTGATTGTTTAGATATTTTAAGAATATTATTCACATACACAATTTATATTTATCTAATCCACCTCCACCCCTTACTGCCTTTTCTAACATCTCTGCTTTCTTCTGTGGACATATCCTCCTTCAAACTTCATATCTTCTTTTATGTTGCTTAATCCAATGAGTAAATTAGTTCTGCCCTATGTTCAGGTATTTATGCCTACCAGTGGAGCATAGACAACTTGTCAGGGTGTATACTGATCAAGAAAACTGACCCTCTCTCTTTTAACAGCTATTCATAATTGAAAGTACCTCTGCTAAGGGTGGGTCTCCTCTTCCCCACGCTGACTTCCTGATCTCTTGCAGGTCTTGTACAGGAAATCACAGATTCTTTTTTTTCTGTTTTTTACGAGACAGGGTTTCTCTGTATTGTTTTCGAGGCTGTCGGTCCAGCCCAGCCTCGAACTCACAGAGGTCCGCCTGCCTCTGCCTCCTGAGTGCTGGGATTAAAGGCGTGTGCCACCACCGCCCGGCTGAAATCACAGATTCTTTAAGTTCTTTATGGAATAGCCTATCATACTCAGAAGATTCTGTTTTTCAGCATTCATCCCGGCCTCTGGCTTTTATATACATTCTTCTTCCCTTTCAGTGATGCTACCTATATCTTGATGGGATGAAATATGATATGGGTGTTCAGTTTAAGGCTATGGGCTCTGTGGTCCCTTATTGCCTATACTTCTCTAGTCATGATTCTCTGTAATAACCTCTAACTACTACTAAAAAGAAGCTTCTTTGATTAGAGATGAGAGCTGTACTAATCTATGAGTATAAGCATAAAGATTTACAGCAATGGTTCTCAATCTTTCTAATACTGTAACCATTTAATACAGTTCCTCATGTTGTATTGATCCCAATCATAAAATTATTTCATTGCTACTTCATAACTGTAATTTTTCTACCATTATGAATAATAATGTAAATACCCCCCCCCATTGAGAACCACTGATTTAGACAGTAGTTGGGCAGTATATTAATTTGGCATAATGGTATTAGTAAGTTTTCCTTTAATGAATATATAAAATCACTAGTACCAGTTTCTTGGCTAGATTTACAGTGCCAGATATGAGGTCTTTATTGTTCAATAGGCCCACAGTCTAATTAGACAGCTGTTGTTTATTCCCTAACAGGTTAATTTCCCTACCACATTCTTAGGCATATCTTGACAAGCCAGTTGTGTAGTTCACAGAATTTGCAGCTGTCTTGGACTGTTGATAGGACTTCTCTGCCCCTGGTCCATATATCACCTCCAGACACTGTAAACATCTAGCTGTCATGGAAGAGGTTGCTAGGTCAGTAGCAGCTTGATTTTTCCAGATACCATAATTGAAGTGTCTGATATCTTTAGTACTAGTCTCTTACCCTCAGGTTCTAGAAAATAGCCAAGGCAAACAGCAGGCATCTGTATTGTGTAGTAAAATATATCTCAATTTAATTTAACACACTTCAATTTTTCCCTAAGTATAGATATATCTAAGATGTTATTGTATGGCTCTTTTAAAAAACTTTCTTTGTATGCTATTACTTTTATTTATATTGTATATACATGTAGTAAGCGTAATAATGATTTCATTATTGTTATTGCTTTTTTTTTAGTTCCAAATTAGTAAACCACCTGAGGCTGCTTGCTTCAACCTGCGGAAACTTCCTTTTAGAGGGTTTAGTAGAAACATAAATTCATCTGTTCATCTTCTGGTTACTTTTTAAAAAATTCTCTTGTTTGCTTTTATGAGGTGCATTAGATCATGATGTTTTTACGTGGTAAGAGTATTGCACCGTTATCTTCTGTCTTCCATTGACATTTTTGACATGAAAGCAGCTAT